TACCTAAACACGTAGCCAAATTATAAAATTTATGTACTCGTTCGACGCACAATTTAACATTCTTTAATTTATTAAAGAGTGCATTTTTCGCTTTGATGCATCAATTAGGAGTTATAGGTGAAAACAAAAAATATCGAAAACATCTGACTTTTTTGACTGTAAAAAAGTAAAAAGTTTCCCTTGGTGGCCCGCATCAGCAACTTTGTTTTTTCATGTCTAAACCCATATATACAAGTTAAAAAAATAAAAACTTTTCTCACAGTTTTCTCAATGGATTTTCCGTTTAGATCCACAAATTACTGGCCTAATATTCTTTAAATCAGCCGCCATTTTTGAGAACAGCGACTCTGGAACGGCAGAAGAGGTTCTTTTTACTCAGAATAATACACAATTTATTAGTTTACAATCAAACCTTCGCCTGCGATCAGGTCGATTTTTGGGCCCCGGCTCCCTAGATCTATTAAGTTCTCTGGTGTTACGGTGCCAAAACATATTTTACAAATACAAGATTATTAGTTCACTGCGACTTAAAAACATACATAATTAAGATTTATATTAAAAAAAACAAAATTGAGATCTTATACAGCATTTCAATCAGGTATCTCTAGGGTAATAACTGCATTGATCACTCGATGTAAAATAAACAAAACAAAAAATGTTTTATACCATATACAAGGCAAACAGCAATTCAATCATTCTCTATTTATAAATAATTATGAAAAATTCTATTGCCTCTTAATGCTGTAGACGTAAACGGATTTTTTTTATAACCACTTCATTCACATAATATTTTTTTTTTTCGTCTATTGTAACGTACACAAAAAGTGTACTTTCATAATTACTTTATAACAATACATCCCAGGTCATAGGATTAAAAAATTATTTAAAATTTTGTTATAATTGACCGTTGTTATTTTTGCTGAAAACAGATACTGACTGAAACATGTTACATTATGAAAACATAATTCAGGTGAATTTGAACCTATCCCGTAACAAAATTCAACTAAATTGCTATGAAATAAATGCTTATAAAACAACGAATCTTTTATAAATATGGGATATCTGTTGTCCTTTTGGAGAATGATAAAAAAAAATCTGGAATAATACATGATTTTATGAAAAACATAACAGTGTAGATTAGCTGCTAAAAGTTCCCTTTACATTATTTTAACTAATACAATAACAATAAGGCAAATTCTGTTTGTATTAATGAAAATTTCATCTAGTTTACTAAGCAATAGCTAATTAGCTTAGTTTATATTTTTTTTTTTTGTTATCACAAAAACACAAAACTTATATTTTATAGTTACAAAATTTCTAAAAATATACGTAGTCACAAACTTGGTAATGGGTTCTCTATACAACATTGAAACAATCATTAAACATATTTTTATTAGAAGAATAATAATACAATCTGCCACAGTCAAGAGCATTGTGTATTATAGCTGTGGGTCACAGTCAACCTGTTTATACAGGGTGTTTCAGGGTTAAGTGGTCAAACTGCAAAAATCAACTAAGGATCTCAAAACAAGAAAAAAAAATCATTTGAAGGTATTTCCGCAAACGCTTAGTTTAGATGATACTCACTTTTAATTATGAATTATTTAGATAGATAGATAGATAGAAAGTAAACTTTATTCTGGGACAAGGTCCCTTATGAATAACAGATATGAACAAAAAATAAAAACTACATATGGCCAAAAATTACATTAGTCAATATATTTTTTATTTTTTTTCTTTATTGACTATTACAACAATCTGTCTCTTGGACATTGGTTATAGTGAGGTAGGATGACATTCACACTATATGTACTAGGCCAAAAATTACACTAATCAAGATTAAAGAATGTATAGTATCTTCAGTAAAATTAAATTAAAACAAGTAAAAATAACACCATTTTGAAAAGAAAAAAAATAAATAAATTATTTAAATGAAAAGAGAACAAAATAAAATAAGCATGGGTTGATTTTTAAAATTAAAACTCTATCAATTTTAACAGCCATTCACCTTAGTCAAAATCTGTTTCGCAATATTTATTTCATTGTATAACGTCATTTTGGGATGTGAGAAGGAATTAGTAAATATGATATTTAAATGAGGACAAGGGAGAGGCATGGCGTATTTCAGATGGCAAAGAATTCCAGAAGGCAGTGGATCGGGCAATAAAGGAATATTCAAACGCCGTAGTTCTATGTTTACGTTATATTAAATATTTAATATTTACGTTATATTAAATAAATAAAACAAATTGATTTGTTCTAACTACTTTATTAATTAGATGTAAACATTAACATTCATATTAAATGATGTTCAAAGTGATTTCCTTGAGCATTAAGACAGGCTCGGCATCTTTCTTCAACAGCAGCAGTGGCGAAACGGCACTGGATATGTGTTATTTTTTCACAAGATTCAATTATTCTTCTTCGTAAGGAATTAAGGTCATTGACCGGACTTTCATAGACTTTTTGTTTTATGTCACCCCCAAAAAAAAAATCCAGTGGAGAGCGTGCAGGCAAGCCACTGGTCCTGCACGGCCAATCCATTGATTGGGGTATGGGATATGATTGAGCAAGTCCGGTCAATGACATTATTTCCTTATGAAAAAGGATAATTGAATCTTGTGAAACGATATATATATATATATATATATATATATATATATATATATATATATATATATAATATATATATATATATATATATACGAAAACATATCACTTTCTAAATGCTGTGACTAACATGAGATTGTATGGACTAGATCGCACCTGATACATTGCATACTGATGAAGCCTTGATTGGAGAGAAAGTACTGGCAAGCTACTGTAGGCGTGGCCTGTTAAACGTTTGAGTGAAGGCAAGGTTCAGCGTCCGTATAATTTCTAAAATATTCACCTTATAAATAAATATACCATTCAAATAGGTATTGTATTATAACAAACAAATCACGATTTACATATAAGTTAAATGGGCATTATATTTCTATAACAATATAAACGAATTATTCAAGATAAGTGAAGAGATTGGAATTACAATGTAAGATAAAATCACAATTTTTTTTATGCGAAGAATAATTGTTTTTCACGATTAAAAAAAATATAACAAAAATCATCATAACTGCCATTATAGCTGGGATAAACGATTACGGACAAAACCTTGACACTACTTGAACATTCTAAGAGAAACCGCAAACCTTAAAGGGAATATTTTTTATTTTTTTTTATTTTAATAAAATTTACAACTGTATTACATAGAAAATACAAATAAATGTGACATTGGTAACATAACATGTACAACATGAAGAGAAACTACCCATTGGTAGAACTCAAATTGAAGTTCTATATTAGAAGGTCCCGAGGCCATCTTCTTTTTATACGCCTCGGAGTGTTATCAGCGATCGAGGAGGAAGCAAGGTTTGAAACGAGAGGATTCGGATGGTTCTGCAGTTTGTTATGGAAGGATAGGTATCTAGGTTGGGCCAAATCGGGAACATATGGAACATTAAGGTCTTTATGGATGATTTTATTTGTGACAAAGTAAGGAGCGTTGAGGATTTTACGAAGGATTTTGGATTGTAAGGATTGGATACGAGAGGAATTCGATGGTTTAGTGGAGCCCCAAAGCTCAATTCCGTAAGTCCAAATAGGTCTTATTATTGTCTTATATGTGAGTCGTTTGTAATCGATTGAAAGCTTAGAGCGTTTGTCTAGTAAGTGCTGCAGTAGTCGAAAAGGGAATCTTAAAATGAATTTTTCATATAATATAAATACATTACAATTGTGGACATTTTTTCAATTGCATTGTTGGTCATTTGGTAGAAGTTATATTGCACAATTATTTTGTTTTTGGAATTTTTTTTTTGGCGGGAGAAATCTTTTTTTTTTATGTAAATAGGAATTGAATCAAGAGAAGACTGTTTTTATTCTCATATATATGATCTTGACTTATCTGAAACAGTTTGTGGAGAAAACCATTATGCATATGCCTAGGGGAGCCCATCCCTCCCCCCCCCCAAGGTCCATGGCGCAAAAACCTATTCCTCCAAGCAACATATTTTATTGCTAACCTTTTCTTAAAAACAGAGCAAGCTAAGATAGAATTTTTTTTTTTTTAAACTTATTTATTGAAAAATATTACAATCTGCCTCTAGGACATTTATAATAGAGTTCACAGATCACATTCACACTCTATGTACAATAAATAAAATAAATTATACAGAAAAATAATATATATACAATAAATAAGAATAAAATAACCTAAAAATAAAGAAATAAAAAGAACACATACACACCTATATACAATATTCGATAGAATTAGAAAAATCGTACATCAAATACAATTACACTTGCTGCGGTCTATTCCATATTTTCACCTTGTCCCTTGGTCTGAAAATTTTCATTCTGAAAATTCATAACGCCATCGAAATGTGCCCTTCTCAAAAATCCAACAAAATATGCCCTCCTCAAAAACTTCGATGGACTTGCGTCATCAAATCCCCTTCTGGGTATACATACAATAATGATTAAGTGGTCTTTGAAGGCCTGACCAAAAAACAAAAAAATTATTTTTTATATATCTTTTCTTTACACATGCTTACATTTAGTAGCTAACTGTATAATTAGATTAATAAAATTATAGTTACTGTAATTTAAAAAATGAAGAAATTGTGATTGTTTAATTATTTGGTTCAGATCACTCTTACAAACAAATATAGATCAATAAAAAAAATAAAAATATTCCTTTTATTCAGGGGGGAGGGAGGATTTTTAACCCGGAATTCCTTACAATCCCATGAATCTTTATTTTTCTATGGATATTAGAAAATTCGAAGCTCACAAACATTCCATATGTTTTAAATATGCGTTTTCCACAAGCTTCGAGAGTCAACTGACAAGGGCTTACCATATCATCTCTAGCAAAAAACGTTAAGAGCTATATTCGAGAAAAATAAAATAAATAAAAATTACATTAAGTTATCTCAACCGAGATTTGTTTTTGGCTAATGGTTAGACATCTTTCCTCTAAGCCTAATGCTGGTAAATTGAGGTTGTCAATTCTTATCACGTCATGTGCCCCTTTTCCAACAGTTGATTCCTGCCCAGAAACTTAAATTAAGGTTTTATTCACGTTCTGTGTTTAGATTATTTTTTTCTGGAACCTATTTTTTAAAATTCTCGATATTGATTATATTAACGTCACCCGAAATCGGTCTATGGGGAATATCGCGTAGTCTTAAATATAATATCGGGTATACATATTGCTATGTATTGTAAGGACCACATTTGGAATATATTTAATCATTTCAAATCAATAAATATATTCTAAATAATAATTGCTAACACAGGTCCGGTTACCTGAGGGAGAGTAACGACCCCCTAGGGAGTGCAACCTTTTGTGAGAGGCAATAAAAAACCAAAGGACAGAGGTCGGCAAAAACAAAGACCACCTCCGACACAGTGGAGAAAGGTTTAAAAGGGACAGTTGAAGAAGATGGGCTGAGAGAGCAACATGGACTGGAGAGTCCAGGCAGGCAGCCAGGAGAAGAGACAGCTAAGTCGTAATATTCATTTAGTTATACATATGTAAACTTGTGTTGGCGGCAGTCATTAATAGAATCAATGGATCATTAGTAACTTCAATCAGTCATATCCTAAATAGCATTCTCCTCTAATAATTATTCTACATATATGTTTTGTTTAAGTTTATAAATATATGAGTTATTATATCATCTTGATAAGTTTGCAATCTCCCTTGCATGCCACCAATTAGTTATAGATGGAAATAGTAAATTCTTAAACACGATACCTTGTGAAAAGATATTCAATAAAAAGTATATTATTTAATCTAGGATACTAAAGTAGGGGGTCTGTGGTATCTAACCTTTAAATACACGATACATATAAAGAAAGGAGATGGTCCGGGATGGCGGTCATAGCCTAAATAGTGGTAAAACTATTTTTATTAAAAGCCGACGTTTCGACCCGACTTTGCATGTCTTCTTCAGGCTAGAACGGACAAGATACAAACAGATAGAGAATTGTGGTAGTTACATAATATTTAGACAAAATTTATAAACAATGTGAATAAGTTTATTGAAATTATAAACAGTAAGTACATTAAAATAAGTACATTAAAATAAAAATTATAGAATTACATTACAAAGGGAAAAATTAATAATTATAATTATATTTGGTTGTACGTATATAAGAAAATTACATTTGAATATTAGATAATATTGAGACATTGATAATAAGTAAAATGAATTGCTTCATGATAAAAATGAGTATGAAATATGAAAATCATGAGTAAAATTAATTCATTTTACTTATTAACCATGCCTAAATATTATCTAATATTCAAATGTAATTTTCTTATATATGTACAACCAAATATAATTATAATTATTAATTTTTTCCCTCTCTATACTTCGAAGTTAGTTCTGCAATGTATGTATGTAAATGAAGTTACTTCTATATTTATATTTCATTTCTGCCAATTTTGTGTTTATTCACATTGTACTCTTATCTATAATCTCTTAATTTTATTGTATATGTATATGTATATATTTATAATTTAATATTTCATAGACATAGTATTTTTTCATTGTATCCATTCATTAGATACTGTAATTTTCTAGGTTTTTCCCCATTACCCAAACATGTCAGCTTCCCTTTATACATGCCATTACCCATGGTTTTCCAGTTATAAGTGAAACTCCTAGCTGAACACACCTGTAAGTCTCTAATTTCATTCTTCCATTTTATTTACTTATTTGTTTAATTTTTGGTTTCCTTTCTTTTCTTTCTCCACATTCCTTTATGTCTATTATATCCTTTTTCCTTTTCTTTCAATCTCTCCTGTAGAAGTATATTAACATTTGCATGTATTACATATTACACTACAACAATTTATCTATTTACTTCAGTTTAGGAACTTGTTACTTAGCTTACTTTGTTCATATTTTAACGTACTTACTGTTTATAATTTTAATAAGCTTATTCACATTGTTTATAAATTTTGTCTAAATATCATGTAACTACCACAATTCTTTATCTTTTTGTATCATGTCCGTTCTAGCCCTTAAGAAGACCTGCAAAGTCGGGTCGAAACGTCGGCTTTTAATAAAAATAGTTTTACCACTATTTAGTCTATTTATGACCGCCACCCCGGACCATCTCCTTTCTTTAAATGCAACGGTCAACTATTAAATATTCACAATACATATAGTTTTCAGTTGACCGGTTCCCTTCTGGAACCGATATAAATACAAATTTAAGTATCAAATACATTTAATATAAATAAATGCGGTTCCTGGAGCCCCCTACACGCGGTAGAAACGCGAAGTCAAGGAAGGCAGCAATATATATGAACTTTCATTTAGTTACTGAACTCAATCAAATTTCAAGGGAATAAAAAATCACTTAGATATATACAGGGTGTACCGTAAGTAGAGGGAAATTCGGATAGGAGTGATAGCAGATATGAAGACCTACAATAAATATCATGTAATCAATGGCCAATTTTCAGCAGGAAAGTAGGAAATCCAAGTTTTGCGTTTTTAAGAGAGTCATATTCTTTGTTGAATTACTAAACGATAACTAAAGAAATATTTATTTTAATTAATTAAAAATTGCTTCATTGTTAACAAGATGGAATGTTATTTAAACGAACATAGAGTTTATCATTGTTAAAACCATTTACAGAATAATTTTGAGAGGCTAAATTAAGCTAAGTTCTGTTTTCAGAAAAATCATAAATTATTCACCATTTTTACTAACCATCATCCAACTATACTACAGTTTCCACTCTTTTACAAAAACTTCTTCGTTTAATTTAATAAGTTTGTATTAATTAAGTTGTGGTTTATTAGGAAAAAATTTAAGATTCAGCCCAATTTTTGTAAAAAAAAATATGATATTTATTATCCTGTCAAGTAAAAGTACCCCTGTTTTCTGCAAACATGACTACAATTTATTGTTGCAAAGCTTCTATTTCTCGTTTTATCATGATCTGGGATGTATTCTATAAACCCACTGCCTAAACATACTTTTTAGGCATTTTTCATTAAAAAAAAATTAATTCGAAAAATACTGATTTTACAATTGTATTTTCCGGGCAAATTGGTTATAAACTGTTAAATTTCACCTAGATCTCTATTATACGAATTGAGCTATATTTGTGAGTAACAAAATAGAATTATCTAGTCCTAAAATTAAGTTTTAAAATAAAATAAAAACCTATGGATTGTTTCAATTATTTCAATTAAAACGTTAATATTAGGAAAAGGGATATATAGTTTCTCACTTAGAAATTCGAGTCAATTCCTGAAATAAAGATCTGGGTGAATCACAGTTTATAACCAATTTACTCGGAAAATATTTGAAAAATCAGTATTTTTTAATTTTTTTGTTTTTATTAATAAAATGTGTGTTTAGTACATTCCAGATCATGGAAAAACGTGAAATAAAAGTTTTGTAACATTAATTGTAGTAATTTTTGCTGAAATTAGGAATACTTTTACTTGACAGGATAAAAAATATAATTTGTTTACAAACTTGAGCTGAATTTCAACTTTTTCCCTAATAAACCTCAAATTAATTAATACGAATGGCATGTAATCTGGCCGGGTATTTTTCTTGTTTGTCCTTTTAGGTATAAGAGTAATCTTTTAATTTAATTTTTAAATATAATTTAATATTAATATTTTTAAATATTAGTATTTATTGTTTTATGTGTATTTATTTATGTATACTGTTGACGATTTTAGATTTTATATTAATTTGATAATTTAAACTATTTTAACTGTCCGACATTTACTGAATATGATTTTTAATTTATGCTTAAGAGTGTAGTAATGTCTGTTATGTAGATTATATAAAAAGGAATTTGTATTTCCATAAGGATGATAATGTTTGTTATTATGTGATAGACTCCATTTGTATAGGGTTCTTCCCTCAAAACAAATAAAGTTGATTGATTGATTAATTAATACGAAAGTAAAGCTTATTAAACGAAGAAGTTTTTGTAAAAGTGAGATGATGGTGTATAAAAAAAATGCCGAATAATTTGTAGTTTTTCTAAAACAGAATTTAGCTTAGTTTAGCCGCTCAAAAGTCCTGTGAAATCGTCCTATCAAAATTTCCCTCCACTTACGGGATACCCTGTGTGTGTGTATATATATATATATATATATATATATATATATATATATATGTGTGTGTGTGTGTGTGTGTGTGTGTGTGTGTAAATTAATATGGTATAATAATATCTAAAAAAGAGGTCGGAATGATAAAAATTTGTTAATAGCGCAGTCTTATTTAATATGTGGAATAGGTAAAGCAACTATATATACAACTTTCGGTCGTATTAATATTATTATTTTATTATTATTATTTTAATATTATTATTGATTGATCACCCAAATCATCCTTCTCTTCATTATTCACGACAGTCAACCATTAATCCACAATTAGTATTTTAGTCATATATACGGGATGTTTCGTGATTGCAAGGCACTATTTTAGGTATTTGTTCACTAACACAAAATAAATAAAAAAGGTTCATATTAACATATATCTCAAACTCATTTATTAAAAAGGTATCAAAGATTAAAGATTTATTATTTATTTACTAAATTAAGACTGACTGTACAAAGTTTAATTTGTTTAATACTAAATAACAGGTTTTAACCACCTGATAAACAACTGAACGATAAGCAATGGCAGTAGTTCCTCATCTGTTTGTCTAGTTTTGTGAGTGAGTTTTGTGAACCGCAGTAACTATCAAGCACCATCCTGATGCTATACGAAGAGCCAGAGAAACATGGATTCGTCGTGCTGAATGTTGCATTTAAAAAAAAAACTGAGGCCCCTTAGAAGAGTTACTCTAAATGTTGTAATAATAAATCTTTAACATTTGATATCTGTTTAATAAATGAGTTTGAGATATATGTTAATATGAACTTTTTTGTTTATTTTGTGTTAGTGAACACATACCTAAAATAGTGCCATGCAATTACGAAACACCTTGTATATATATATATATATATATATATATATATATATATATATATATATATATATATACACATATATATATATAGTGACGTATTTGTATAATGAAATAAAACTAACAATACTTAAGGCAATAGAAAAAAAAATAGAATAGAGATAAACCGGCCGACTTATTGATAAAAATAATAACCGTAAAAAGACCGAGTTATTGACAAAAGGCTGTCGGAGCTGGCTTCAAAGGACCGTGACAAACTGCGTCCTTAACTCCAGAACGCTCTCCGGCACACTCCAGAAATGCCGCACCGCCACATCATAGGATCACTTGCGATCTTCCGACAAAGTTCTTCAGCAAGAGAAAGCTTTTGTTGTCTATTTGAGGCTTGACGTCTTGATGCAATTCAACTATAATATAGGATAGAAATGATAAGTACTCCTGTAGGTATAATTATAAATTATCAAAGAAAAAAGTGTAAAAAAAATGGCGTCTGATTTAATGAATATTAGACCAGTAACTTGAGGATCGAAACGAAAAATATGGGAAACTTTTTAAAATTTTTTTAACCTGTACATGTAACATTTCACATGCAAAAAACAAATTGCCAACGCGAGCCACTTAACAGTGGTGGATCCAGGAATGTTATGAGCAGATGAAATCCACACACCGAAGGTGTATATATATATATATATATATATATATATATAATTTCTAAAAAAAGATTTGGAGAAGGAGTAAGCTAAGAACTAATAACCTAATTATTTAAAAACATACGTTAATTTCCCTGCCCCTTATCAGCCATAGAACCTTCTTAGTTAATAATGATTTTTCTGTGGTACCTCGAATACGGTTTTATAATTCATTATTAAATGTTTTTAACAAGAGAAAACATAACTGAAACCTGAAAACGAACACTGAAGAAAAAGAAGAGGAAAACTGTATACTATTAATGCTGCTAATGAGTTTCTTTTTTTCTATAATTAATGAAGAAAATAACATCTGAAGAAAACGAACAATATAAACACAAAACTAGATTTACAAGATAACAAAAAAATAAATGAACATTAATTAACCAATCAATAATTTATGTAAGTATCAAATGAAAGAAAAAAAACTTGCACGTATATATTTACAAGATCTCAATGGTGTCCTTGTCCAATTAGCAAATTTAGTCACCTCAGAAAACGGGAACTTAAGAGTTAGTCGAGCCAGCGTCGTCAGGATTTTCTTTACCCACTTCTTCAAATTGAAAAAAAATAGTTATTTGTTAGTCTGTGACACTAGCGGATCCAGGATTTAATTTTATTTTTTTTTGGGGGGGGGAGATTCAGCCCGAAAGAATTTTTTTTCATATGCATATAACGATAATTAATTTTTTTTAAAAAAGAAAGAAATTAACTACCTACATGAAATGGTGTTTAAGTGGTTCTTGAAGTCCTATTAAATGTAATTAAACGAGCAATAATACTTTAAGACATAATTTTTTAATATTTTTTACCATAAAACATGGTTACGTTTTACCATTTTGGGGCGGGGGACTTCAGCCGGAAAGCCCCTCCTCCCCGTAAATCCGCCTGTGCTGTCAACTACTGGTGCTTTAACCCTAATGCTTAAGATTGCTTCGCTATGAAAAATTACTTCTTCAAACTTAGCAGAAAAGTAGCGAATTATTTCAACCAAAACTCAAGAACTTCCTTCTTCATTACAGATAACATATTAGCTTAAGTGGAACAATTCAGTCTGAGACTCGCCAGCAGTGGCTAACTAAATATATGGAAACATAATTCAGGAAGGTCTTCCGCCATATATTTTGTCCTTTACTGAATTAATAAATCATTATGTTCTGTCGTATTTAGTGATTATATCTTTAAGTATGAAGCATATTTTAAACCCAGAAAATGTTTACTGTAACTTAGAGACTCTTAAGTATCTGGACAGATTGAAAACTCTTTGGAGGCTATCGATATTTACATTATCGAGTTGTGGAGAGCGTTAACGGTCTGTGACGCGCCTCTAATCTTTTAAGAATTTTGGTTTAAGGTATTTATATTCAATTCGACTGCTATTTATTTGAATGTGTGTGTTTGATACGCTTATTTGTGTCCTGTTTGTTGCAACCACAAAATTATTACCTTCTTAAGAAATCTAAGTGGTTTTGTATATACAATTTCTAGACCTCCATCGTCATGGGAAAAAAATCTAAGTTTAGTGAAGAAAGAGGAGATGAAACATCGAACACACACACAAATGAACCTGGAGTTGATACTTATGAATATAAATTAAAAAATGTCAACCCCATTGCCAAACCTATAGCCGGCAGGAAGCTTACCAAAAAAATCTATAAATTAATAAAAAAAATGTAAGGTTTCATTAATTTAATTATGTATTTCTTAAAATAACAACATAACATATAATTTTCAGTTTATTATGTTCCTTTCGTTTAAGTTTAATTTTTTTACAGCCTGCAAGGACAAGAGTTGTTTTATTGATGGCCTCAGACAAGTTCAATTTAATCTAAGAAAAGGAGGGCATGGGTATGTAAATAATTAAACTAATGAATTATAAGTTTGAGTTATTACTATGTAGTCCATAGATTCATTAACTAGAACCTGCAGACCCAAAGGAGTAGCAGACCCAAGGATTAGGTAAGTCCATTATTGGTCCAGTATAGTTGAGGTTGTTGCCTTACCTGCCAAGGATCCTCTCAGTTCATCTTTAAATATTTTATATAATATTTTCCATGTGGTCCTGAGATTAAGTGCTAATTTTAACTTTTAAGACACACTCTGCTACTTTTGAAATTCTTTGTGCACTACTTTTGATGTGATACTGACTTAGCCCTAGTCGACCAGACATGACACTTGTGAATTATTACCTTAGTTTTCTAAAATACTTTAAAATATTGTGATATGAAGATTTTGTACAGAAATATTTATAGTAGTAGTTCACAAGAGTTCTGCACAGCTAAAGTTAAATAAAAGTCAACTCATGCTGTATAACTGTACATTATTAAGGGTATACAACTACTTTAATTGCAGAAAAGTTCTTTGTTATTAATCCAAGACATTGGTCACCTTTTTTACTCTTTCAGGTAACCTGAATACTTTTGGCATTCTATGAAAGAGTGATGGCGAACCACTCTGTATGGAACTCATGTGAACTAGTACCGTATTTGTTATTAACAAAGAACTGAATCATTTAGTATTGGCCAGAGTAATAACTCCGATGACAACAAATACTGGCCCTGTCTCAGTATCAAGGAATATTACATATCACTAATTTAATTAGTGATTGATTTTGTTTACATTTTGGTGTTTGGAGCTCATTGTTACCCATCTTTGTTTTTGGCTAGTAGTATATATATTAACAATTTGAGTGTCTCTCTTTATTTGAAAAAAAAAAGGCACTATTTTATTATTACATATCTAGTTCAAAATATTCCTTTAAATAATAAGTGCTCCGTCTAGAGGTTGTGTGAGCTGAGATCTCTTAGATAACACTTGTGCATGAAATAACAAAATTAGCTGAGTTAGTCTGGAAGAGTACAGAGGTGGCCAAACTCTAGAATTTTAACTCAAATAGACATAATTTTCATTCATCACCTTTACTTCTTCCTACTAACAAATGTAGATAATAATATGAACTGAACTAAACTCAAAGTTAGGCAATATAGTGTGATTTATTATCCAAACAAGGCATAATACATAAATTATAATTATCTATTAAGCTTTCTGAAATATTCAGTTTAGATTGTAACAATACATTTATCACTTGATTTAGATGGAAAAGTTGTTTACATTTTTTTTTTTTTTTTTGCAGCCTAGTTATATTTGCTGGCGATGTCATGCCAATTGACATAATGTCCCATCTTCCTGGAGTATGTGAAGATAAAGAAGTTCCTTATTGTTACATGCCATCAAGAAAAGATTTAGGAGCTGCTATGGGAGTCAATCGGTCAGTTGTGACGGTCATGGTGAAGCCCAAAGATGTCTATTCAGAACTGTATGAAGAAGTACTTGGAGAAATTAAGGCACTGCCACTTCCAATCTAAAGTTAATAAAATTAACTTTAGAATGGAACTATAATAACTTTAGAATAAAGCAAATAAAATTGTGTTTATTTTATTATTTTAATTTTTGTTTATTTGCCCTTGAAGTTATAGTTATGTGTTAACTTTGAACTAGGTTTTATTCATCTTGAAATGTCATAATATTATGCTGATCATATTTTTAACTTATATTCTAAATTTTATAACTGTGATTTTATATCAATAAAAATTTTATAGATTATTCATGTATTTTTGTTTTCTTTTTTGATTTTCTATTCCTTTTAAGACCATATTTAGGAACATTCCCAAGAAAGTTTATTAACCATTTCATTTCAATGCTCCGATTTCCTTACCTAAACAAAATATTTAGTTTATCGACTAACCTTTTTTCTTACTTTCTTTTATAAAGGTAGCCATAGATGAAAACAAGGGTTGAAACTTTTTAAAAAGGTCCATTTTAACAGTTACTATATAAAACATATTAGGAAAAAAGTTTTGCAATTACCTAATTGCAATAAAAAGTTTAAGTTGGACCTAGGAACAAATTTACAAATTATTTGAGTTTATAACAAACCATGATTGATTCTTATTTATATTAGACTAGTGATGTGAGGTTACCTTCCTCTACCATTCTTAGAGGAGAAATATGTGAACCAATCCCCTATGGGAACTATATTTTCATTAATAATTATTTAATGAAATTTATTTTTTATCTAACTCTCTTCGAGGCCTAAAAATAAAACATTATTTTACAAACTTATTTTTTTTTGTATTTCATTTTCTGTTACAACATATATATATATATATATATATATATAGGGGCTGGGGTAGCCTTGCGGCTCTTGCAATAGGTAATCTAAGTTAAGCAACGCCGACCGTGGCACTTGGATGGGTATCCGTCCACCAAGGAAAGCCCGTGTGAGGTCCGTCAGGCTAATGGAGGCAACTCACACCGACCGGGCGTAGGATTGATGACCCTACCCCGTACTTTAAATCGGAAATCGGGATGTGGTCTAGGAGACCAAACTCGCGGTCAAAGATCTTCAAGGTCTGTAGCGCCAACCGAAATATATATATATATATATATATATATATATATATATATATATATATATATATATATAAAGAAAGAAAGAAAAGCAAACTTTATTTATTAGTATCGGTATCATTATCGGACTCCAGGATCAGGGTGCGCGTTGCTGCCCTCAGTAGATTGATGTCCTCGTGGTGGTACTGTTGGGTCTACTCCATGGACTACAGGCGGACTGCATTTTTTTTTATATGAATCCTATGAAAGAAGGGTTCAGTACTATGGGAGAAAGTACTGTTATACAGCCAACGGTTGTGCAGGGAGGTGATTGGGCCAAGATCACGCTCAACCGCCAGATTTTCGTTCTTAATTAATTATTTGATTAAGATTACTCCCTTTACAGAGGCTAGGTGTGCCTGGGGATGGTCTTCTGACCACGGGGCTGACCCACGGCTGATAAAATATTTACTTTTCATAAGTCGGATTCGAACCTGTGACCTTGAGCTCTGGAAGTCAATGCTCATCCACTGAGCTAACCCGCTCCATCCATATAAATGGTATATTTGCACGAATTTTCAAACAGTTATTGAGCGAATGGATAATTATAAAATTAGATGGTTCAAATTAATCAGTGAGATATCATAGATTTATTTTTTTTTTTAATTAATCTAAAAATATTTTTTAAAAATATTTTATTATATTTTAAGTATTCTCAAATATTTGTTAGTTGCGTATCTTATCATGAGTAGCATCGTAACCATATGTGTTAAATGTAAATTCAGTAAAATCAGAACTTAAAAAACGAAAAGGGTTAAAATAGAAATTAATTAATTTAAAAAAAAAAGATTACAGAAATCAGTAAATCCTATTGATCTTACGGGGATGTACTTTAAATATATCTATTTAAATAGCTTAGTAGAATGTCAGGAAAATTGAAATCTACATATATTTAAAATTTAGTTACTGGTGTAATAGTGTGGGAATTTTTCACCACACATTACAGCTACAGGTAAGTAGGTCTCTTTTTATGTATTGATGCAAGTTTTGGATTTCTTTCATGGATGTAAGGCAATAGAATATGCCAAGTTTCAATATTCGTAGATGTCAATTTCTCTAACAATCTATCAAGATGTTTAAGAAGATATCCATTTTTTTTTTCGTGGTGGATGTTTATACACTGGTGTGTATTCAATTACTAGAACTATAACCACATCTCTTATTGAATGAATGAATGAAAACGTGTTTATTAAACTTTTTAAAAAATTATACAAAGTAAAATATATATATACAAGCAACAACACATAGACAATGGAAAATTCCGTCTGTCGAGGTCTGTGTGTAATCAATAATAAATATTCATCACATCTATAACTAAAATAAATGAGCAATAATATATCTACAGTATTATTATGTTTTTATACATCCATTCTAGCAATTTTCTTTTTCACTGTCTCATTTGTTTAGATAGAGTTTTCAAAAAACAAACATTAATACATCACAAATCCAACAAATAAGAAATTTAAATTCAACAATAATAATAATAATCATCAAATACAATATAACAATAAAACAAACTTTACAATAAATAAACACGATATTTTATCAATAGTTTGCTATCTGACTAATTGAGATCTTTGCAATGTGGCCTGCTGTACATAATTGCTTAAGGCTTTCCAGTTAGAACCCTTTAAGAAACCAAATAATTCTTCTGGAGAACAGGTCCGCTGCCCAAAACGTTTTTCTCTTAACTCACTGAACATGTGGCAAGTCCCCAAAAAGTGAATGATATCCTCTTTTTCTTGAGAGTTACATACCGGACAGTAATCGTTGTCCCCCACCACCCATGGTTTTACGCTAAAATCGAGCAATTCTGTCCTACATCGAAAAATTGCCCCTATAGTCACAATATCAAAACTATCATCAAGATAGGGTGTAACAGGACCCACTTATAATACTCCTGCGTAAACAGAAACACTTGAATGAAGGCATTTTTGAAGGTTATATTGTTTTTCTATGTCCTCTACCCTACGTCTAACAACAGTCAATTTTCCGCGCAGATCAGCGATATTGGCAGTATCAAGATTAATTTTGCAACTATTCTCGAATTCTAACCACTTTTGGTACCAATAAACTCTCTTAGTTATCACCTCTTTCGCTAGGATGGTTAGGGCCACATCTCTTATTATTAATATGATTAAATATTACAGGAAAATATATAAGCTACCCACAGGTAGGTTGATCCCAACGAACCAGATCAATGTAGCGAAATAAGACCATTAGGATTAATTTTATTTGTGCCAAACTAATGAAAGTTGAATGTTTGTCGAGGATTGGAAGGGGACCTCGGAACCAATTAAGCAAATGACCAATAGAAGAAGTGATCTACTTTTCCTAAAGAAACCGACCAAAGGCGGAGTGACAATCCAGCCCTTAGTCATTTTTCCGTCTTAGCAGTCACATTTAATTTCTAAAAGGCACGGGGGAGAGGGGGGGGGCTTTCGGGCTGAAGCCCCCTCCCCCAAAATAGTAAAATATAACTATGTTTTATCGAAAAAAATATTTAAAAAGTATCTCTTAAAGTATTATTGTTCGTGTGATTAATATAAAAAGAGCTTTAGGAATCACTTAAACACCATTTCATACAGGTAGTTAGTTTCTTCATTTTTTTCAAAAGTAATTATCGTTATTAAAAAAAAAAAGCTTTCGGACTGAAGCCCCCCCCCCTAAAAAATTAAATCCTGGATCCGCTAGTGCTAAAAGGGGTGGCTAAATCTGCTTACTCTGTAAAAAATGTTATATAATATTTTTTTTTTAATGAAGCCATCATTTTTCTGTCCATTTTTACTAAAATTGGTGTCTTGAGGTTTTATTTTTTACATAAATTAGGCCAATATTCACTAACATTTTAATTTATAAGCTATTAATTACGACGTTTCGACCATCAAGTCTTAATGAGTCCTCCATTATATATTAATTTAGATATATTCAGTTATGTCCCTCCAGAAAAGACGTAGGCGAAACCCCTAAATAGCAGAACAACGTTCACTGAACAAAATAATGCGACATTAATAATGAATATATAACGGAGAACTCATTAAGACTTGAAAATTAAAATGTTGGTGAATATTGGCCTAATTTTTATAAAAAATAAAACCATCATGTCATCTTAATGGAATCCGTGTTCAGACACCGTTTTTAATAGGATGTCCGATGTTTTATACCAAATCTTTATGATTTGAGGGACCATTACATAGAGAAATATATTAGTGAAGACAGCAATTTAATCTTGGGTAATTTATTAACAATATAAAAACTGGTAAAATTATACGCTATATTTTATTTCACAATGGGATGCCTTAAAATTAGATCATTCATCATGAACGATTAAATGCAAACAATATTAATATTTATGTTTTCCACAAGACACAAGATCTACGGGGGGACGGCTTTCGGGCTGAATCTCCCTCCTCGCCACCCACCCTCCTCCCCTCTCCTCCCAAAACGGTAAAATATAACCATGTTTTAGAGAAAAAAAAATATTAAAAACTATCTCTTAAAAAGTATTATTGTTCGTGTAATTACATTTAATAGGACTTAAAGAATCACTTAAACAACTTTTCATATAGGTAGTTAATTTTTTTTTTCAAATTAATTATCGATAAATATTTGAAAAAATAATCTTTCGTGCTGAAGCCCACCCCCCAAAAAATTAAATCCTGGATCTGCTAGTGCCACAAGACATTCTGTAATCTTCGACTAAGAAGCTGATCATACCATGTATTCTTGCATTTTGCTATATTTTATTGTATATCGTATATTGTATTATCATTAATATAATAGGTAACATAGTAACTAATAATATAATACCTATAATAGGAATATGTTATTGCTATTTTTTAAATTCCTTAATTGCATATTTATTTAATTTTTTTTAAATATTTTCAAAGCCAATACTTTTTGTTTATATTGTAAT